CGCTTGGCTGGCAATGTTCCTTACTCGAGGTTCGCTGTGCTGCTGCTCGCAGTCTGGCTCTTAAACCCTTAGATACTACTGCTGTACTAGTGGGGGCAAATGTTTCTCCCGCTAAGCTTCGGGTGATGATGCGCGATCCTCGGCCTCGACGTTCGAAGCGCAAAACTCCTGCCCCTGTTTTTATCTGCCCTTTCTGCTCTCAGGAAGGTGCCGATCTGCAACATGTCGTTTGGTCATGTTTCCAGCGTCGCTGGGAGGATGGCAGTAGACCTCCTCTGTGCCCTGATTGCCCGCTTCAAAGGCGTTTGGGATGGCCACGGAGGAAGCCTCCAGATGCCTATGATATCCAGGTTCTGACCTGGCAAGCATTTTGCAGAAAACGCATTCTGCAAGAGAGGTGGTGCTAGCACCGTGCTCTTTTCTCCGTCTTTTCTTGATTCCCTTCCAGGTTTCTTAGCTTTTCGGTTTAGGGCATCGGTTTAGGACGCCTTTTTTGTGCATCACTTTCAGTCTGGTTTCGTTCCTGATGCATTTGTGATTGCACCCTGCAGTTCTGTTGCTAGGGTTTAGACCCGCCTACTACTTCTGCTCCTGTTGTCAAGTGCTTGCGCTTGTACATCCACTGCTGTGGATTCACGTGTTTGCAGCAACATGGTTGCTGCACCAACAGGCGGCTGCCCCCCTTAAGCTTTGAGCTTGATGGAGTGGGTGCCTTCGTCAACTTTTTCTTCTACTACAACAAGGTGATGCGGATGCGCTGGGTGCTGACCAGGAAGAACAGTGGGGCCGCCAAGGCGCGACTACCTCACTACTGTTCAGACGGCGGCGCCTACCTTGAGCAGGACTGGGCGCTACATTCTCCTGACCGCTGCTGCGAACAAGGGCTTCAAGACAGAGTCCGGGGATGTCACTTCGGCGTTTCTGCGAACGCTGTCGAGCTTAGAGGATGAGGAGCTGTATGTTTGGGCGCCTGCAGAGCTGGCTCCCTTCGGAGCAAAAGGCGGCGAGGAGACTATCCTAAAGCTGACGAAAGCCTTCTATGGGCTGCATGGTGCATGCACCACGGAAGTGGCACGAGTCGGTGGTGGAAGCCCTTCTATCTGGAGGGTGGACACAGACCAAAGCCGACCGGTGCCTGTTCTGCTTGTACGACGACCAGTCTGGTGAGCTCATTGCGCTGGCCGGGATCCACGTTGATGATTTCCCTGATTTGTGGAGGAGAGGGCCACGCCAAATATGAGCATGCCAAACAGGCCCTCCAAGCACAGTTCAAGTTCGGCAAGTGGGACGAGAAAGACTTTGACTTCGCTGGGTGCCATCTAAGCAGGAGCCTGACGGCATCTACGCGGACCAGACGGACTACGTGGACAGATGGTTGGAAGAGGCGCCCGTTCCCGAGGAGCGAGCTCGTCAGGAGACAAGCCCCCTGACTCACCGCGAGGTTTCACGCCTCCGGGAAGCGCTGGGCATGATCTCCTGGAAGGCCTCACAGACAGGACCTCATCACCAGGCGTTATCAGAAGTCCCAGTGGCGACTGTGAAGACACTGGAGACCGTGAACAAGCTTGTGAGGGAAGTGAAGAAGGAGTCTTCGCAGAAGCTTTGGTTTGGAGTGGCCGAAGCCCTGGACCGAAGTGACCGCAGTGGTCTGGGCGGATGCCTCACAGGGCAACCGGCCCAAGAAGTCGAGCACCATTGGCCATTGGCTACGTCGGCGGCTTCGCTCCGAGAACCATCCTGGATGGCGAAGAGGAGAGTGTGTGGAAGCAACGGCCCAGAGGTGCAGGCCATCACCGTCGGCGAGGACGTGGTGTTTTTGCTGGCGGGCCCTGCCCTGTGGTATGAAGTCCATGGAGGCCAAGTCCTTCGAGGACGTCTGGAGAAGGACCTGTCCGAGCGATGACGTGAAATTTGTCCTCTCTGCACGGACTCAGGTCCTCCAGAGCCGGCTACGAGTTGACTACTGCGGTGCAGCAAGCCCTTCAGCTGAAGACTCAGCTCAGGTGGGTCAACGGATTGGCCATGCTGGCTGACGGCCTCACCAAGGCAGACAACAAGAAAGATCTTCTGAACTTCTTCGTGAACCCCCAAAAGTGGAGTATCATCGATGGTTATGATGAATCCTTTACAGCAGGAAAGAACAGAAAATTCACAAAGCAGCCTTGCAGAAGAAACTGGCGGAACAGACGAGCCTCGTTGTCACGAAGCTACGCCAGTTTGCAGCAGGGAACACGTACCGTGGTTCTTGGATGCTCCATCGGAACCTCTTGAGCCTGATGAAGACGTAGTGCAAAACCTCAGGGGTTTTATAGCCGTGTCAGGACTGAGGTTTCCAAAGTACTCATGAGGTTTCGCAGTCGAGCACGTCGCATGTCTCACCTTGTGAAACACCGCCGGGATTTGGGCTCTCGAGAAACAAAGGAGTGCTGGCTGATCTGGCTGCACTGTTGTTGAGCAGGCATTCGCCCATGCTTCCGTGTGTGAGGATGTTCCCGTTTTCAATGAACAGTCCGGCTGTTTTCTTGGAAGAACGGGTTTTGCTACGGGGTGTGGGGTTAAACATGTTATTCGGCTGGTATTCGGTTGCAGCAGGTGCATTGTCTGCTGTACGGGACCAACGCACGTTTCCCCGTCCAGTCCAATTGGGAGCCCGCAAAAAGCCACGCTGGAAAGACCTATTTCTTGTTTGCTGTGCAAATTATGTTTTGCGAGTTACGGAAACAGTTTGATCGCTTCATAAGACCCCGGTGACGGCAAGCACAGAACAAAAGGGGGCATCGAGGTGGCCAGTCACAGTTCCTGTTGTTAGGCCAACCGGGCGTTTAACAAGATCTGTTGGGCAAATACTCAAATTGCGTTTAAGTTATTGTTGTTTCCAAGCACCATTGGCCGGCAAGGATATGCATTCTGACGATCCTGATGTGCGATACCCCTGCAACCGAGTACATCAAGGAAATGCCTTGTCCACCCTCGAAAGCCATCCATTTGTGCATTCTGCGTGTGCGAGAAAATGCACAATCCAGGGGGCCTTCAGTTTTCGGTTTGAGCTCGGTGCTAGTCTTTGCTGTAGGCTACTTACGTACTGCAGTGTTCAGGATGAATGAAAAGTGAATTCCACGAGAATGCTGGAAAGTTCTAGTGCGATATAAAGTCTTTTGCGTGCAGATTCCAGATGTTAATAAGTTACGCAGGGGCAATTTCAGAACGATGCAACAAGCGGTGCCACAGCCGATACATAAGTGCCTGCTTTGTATCCAAATGGTGATTCAATAAGATTCAATACATGTGGACTGCAGGTGCTTTGTGTCACAATTGCCCAGTGCATGTGACAGTGCAACCATGCGCAACCCGTGAGGTCGACCGTTCTGGCGGAATGCATATCGGACTTGGCTGCTGCAGTGCGCGCAGCTTCTGGACCATGAGCCGTTCGCCCAGAGACTGTGTGGCACTTGACAGTTGCTGCTTTGCAGGAAAGTTTGCACTTCGAGGGTTCGTGGGTACATAAACATAGTCGTGCACGAGGCCCTTCTCGCTCGTTCTGACTCTCGCTTTGGGTGCAGCATTCTGTTGTCCACTCGCACATCCCGCATGCAATGAGTCCTGTTCCTTTTTATTTCAAAGCCTCCTACGTTTGCTTGCGACGTGTGAGGTTTCTGAGGCTTGCTCAAGTGCGGGCTGTGGGCCGGTCCGTTCGTGCGTCGCGCTTGCCACAAGCCTGAAGCATTGCGAGGTGTTTCCCCTCTCCGCCCGAAGGGTTTCTCCCCGGGAACATCAGCAGTGTCAATGCCAAGTTGTCGAGACATGGCAGCCAACATGCGCAAACGGCAGCCTTCTTCTGTTGTTTCTTAATCCTTGAGGTGTAGCAGGAAGATGCGCAGCATCGTGGAGAGGTTCAACACTGAGCACCAAACGGAGGCGGGCCCTGCGAAGCGGCTATGGAAGGAAGCACATAGCTTCAAGACCGAACTGGAAGATATGATTTTGCTGTGGCATTTGTGGCATGCTGAACGAACGACATGCGTGCTCCAGGGGTTGACGGCCAGCCGATGCCCAAGCATTACACAAATACAGGTCCAACAATTTCAGCTCGCCTCATGGGCGTGCTTGTTTGCAAGGTTACCGTCATGGCCCAGTGAAGACCGAGGAAAGAACTAGGCGCAAGGACAGCCAGAGGAGAGCTGTTTGATCTCTGAGGGCGTTGCCATTCTGTGCAAGGAGCGAGCGCTCGGCTTGAAACCATCTGCTGACACCTTCGAAGGAGCCCGCAAATAGCGGTGCCGCCATTCCCGACTGCAGACTGTCTCCAACGCCATTGCAGGTCGGACTACGGCCTCGCAAGTCTTGGACATAGTCCGTGGCACGGCAGGCTGCTTAGGCTTGTCTCCGCAAATTCGTACAGTCCTAAAGATGCTGTGCTCAGATTTCGGTGAACTCACCGCAGGCCGTCTCGACCCTCAGACTCTGCAGACCCCTTGTTCGCCTTCCTTGATTCCGTTTTACAGAGGCGCTTCGAATGCTGGACCTCTTCAGGATGCCTGGTGTGAAAGTGCTCGCAAAAAGCGTCAGAGCATTGCGTTGCACAGCGTTGCTGCAACATGGCACAGCTTTGCTGTTTGGGCTCAGGACCTTGGACAAATCGCTGGATCGGCTCCTGCTGGTTCGGGCCAGCCTGACCGTCTTCCACTGTAACTGCAACGGTTGTATTCTGTTGCACCGCAGCAGCGTCAGGTGATCAATCGCTACCACCCGGAGTCCGAGACCTTTTGTGGACACAGGTGCAGATGCTAGCTGGATGTCAAAAGGTTTCACAAACGGACTGGGAGGGCGATTGAAGCTCTGTAGCTGTTCTGGAAAGTTCGCTTTTCGGCCAGATTTATCGAAATGAACGTCCTTTTCCGCAATGGCGTCAGGGCTTGGCTCTTACGAGCTGTAGTCTCACGGATGTACCATTCATGCATGTGGCCATGCCATTTCATGGCAAAGCAGGCAGGAGCATGTGGGCGCGAAGGGAAGTCCATCGACCTGGCATTGGTTGGCGAGGAGCTGCAACACGTGGGTGCACAAATCTGCTTAGAGCAATGGTTGTTCCTGCTTGAGGTATGTATTGTCCTGGATGACTGGTTGCAAGTTCACAGACAAAGGCAAGCTTCTAGGGAGTGCGTCGACTCTGAGACGCTGCGCAGCTTGCAAAGGCACTTGCTCTACAAGTTGCAGCAAGGCTTCTTCGACTGGGTCCCAGAGGACCCAGTCCCGAAAAGGCACAGATTTCGTCGATTGGAGTGAGAAAGGTTCTGACGACTCGTCAGGAAGATGTTAAAACTGTCCAAAGCGTTTGTAATCGTTATACGAAGTGCAAGGAACCCAGTGCAGCTGAGACCCCTGCCTGACTCGCTAGACATCAGAGAAGAGGAGGGTTGGATGCACTGTGCGTGAAATAACGGGTGTCCGCGAAGGTGAGGTGGCGTTGCAATCCCCTAAGCGATCAAAGTGCCGAGGGCTGTCATTCTGGAGATAGTTTTCCACGCGTGCCCTGACAGAGCACCACGACTGTGAGGATGAAGAGCCTGCAGATGAGGGGGATGACTTTCTTAGCACATTGTCTCTTGGAGGCCGCGGCCGCAACTCTGTCCTTGTATGCCCAGCTTGACCCTTTGACTTGTGTACCTGGATGCAACCATCGGAGGAGACTTCTTCAACCTGGATGGCGAATGAAATGCACCGTTTGCTACTCCGTTGGTCCGTTTGTGGTTCCGGCTCCTGGCAGAACTTGCGGAGTCAGCCACAAAGCTTCAGCTCCTCGAAGAGGGAGCAAAAGGAGCGAAATAAAAAGTACCGTAGCAGACGTTAGTTGGCGTGTCGATAGCCGGCTGAGTTGCCGTGCCAAAGGTGCGCGGAAGCTAACAATCAATGCTCAGCTTTTTTTGCGACTTGCGCCACGTACAATGCGTGATGCAAACGGGGATCTCTTCGTGCAAAACCCAAGTTTTTGCACAATCAGTCTCTGTCTCACTTAGATGCAAAAAGCGTTGCGTGCTCTCTTTTAGAAGCACACCAGCTCATCTCCTGATGTGCGGAAGCTTTCTAGGCTGCTGTGTACCTTGCAGACGGTGCATGACACCAGGCCAACGACTCCAATCCAAATGGGGTAATGAGCCGCAGAGGGGTTTTGGTCGCCGGAGGTGTGCACGGAGCTCAGACCAGGGAACTACGCAATGCACCGGTATCCCTTCACATGATGCCTGAACCATGTCGGCCTTTATGCGTTTTCCTGCGACTATCGCAGCCCGCCGCTCCTCGCGCTACCGCCATCGCTCCACCCCGCCACCATCCGCCCTCTTGCTGGGTCCAGGCCAGGCCCGAAAGGCCCAATGTGGGTCAGCAGGGGTGTCTTTCCCCTGATGCCGAAGCCTTGGTGGATAAGCAAAATTTACGTAAATGGATGTCTGTTCTGGAATCGATCGAAGAAAAGTGGTACTGTGCCGAGGACATTACTTGCGGCGTCAAAATTATGACAGTCACTCCAATCAATGCTCTGCGGATACTCTGTGTTGGCGCTCTAGGGATACTCTGCAGAGTAGGAGTTCTGGGGGGGGCATTCCATACCTGCGCTGCGGCATATTTAGTTTTCTAAGAAGGGAGTGGGAAGGCGAGGACCAGGAGAGTGCTTCTCATGGGAGAGTGCGAGGAGAAGGGCAGCCTGAAATCTAACAACCTCACACCGAGGATGGTTAGCTAGAAGAACGGCGTTTTCAGCATAGACAGACGATGAAAAGATATAATGAAGAGAAGCCTGGCAGCGACATAAACTAACAGAAACCCACGGGCTTGTGGCAGCCTCAATGAACCTGCGCAGTTCTTGGTTGTTCTGCAGTGCGTCTATGTTCGACCTGTATCCCACTTTTGGTTTGGTGCAGAAACGACTCATTGCGAACTGAGACGGACTCCCTAATAGATAAGTTGTTTTTGTGGCTATTCCGGCCAATGGCGCAAAATCGCGCAAACAGCCCGGCAATCAGTACAATGGGATGCCTCAGGTTTGGCTCCTTGCCCTTTCCGGCGCCGGAGCCATTTACCGTCCGCGTCACTTCGCCGATGTGTGAGGCCGAAGCACTAACATCGCATGATGCTGCCGAATTCTCGTGCATCATCGTGCGAGAATGCCTCAGGTGTTCTTCATGTCCAGCGCTGACTTCCCAAAGATTCCCAGGACTGATTTTTTGGGCGGTCGCAAGTCCGGAACGGAAAATGCAAGTGTGGGCAAGGAAGCTGCTGGACATTTTGAACGAGTATGCAGGAACCTTGCTTGTCGATTTCATTGATGCTGATGGCGATGCGGTGTCAAAGCGAGCTTAAGCCAATGCAACTGCGCTGCTTTCAGCCGGATAAGACGGTGTGACGCAGTTCGCTTAAAGTGCATCAGAGGTTGCATCATCCACCACATGGCGCTTGGGATGTCATCAGAGGTGTGAGCTCTTTCTTTCTCACTCGTAAAGATGTGCTCAGTCTTTCAAGCAGCGCAGCATCCGTCTACTCACGGAACCTCGACCAAGCTAGAAGTGAGCGATGCGCACAGGAGCACTGAGTTTCGCAAGCATGGTCATGGTGTCCCAGAGGCTAAGCTGCCGGCCTGACTCCAAGCATCAGGCTTTCATCGATGCATGTGTAATGTGCTCTGTATCGATGCTGCAGGAAGATGATACTGACAAATCTCAGTGGACGAGCGGTTCTTAGTTCAGAGCTGGGCGGAAGCATCAAGACATGACTGACTGTATATCCATAATATCCTGACTGATCCTGTCATCACGAGTTGCATTTTAGAGCCTGATTGAAAAAATGTCTGCTGGTGGCCTTTCGACAGGCATTGCTTCCCTTGTGATGCAGCGCTCCTTGACTTCGGGGGGGCATCTCTGTGTGATGGATTTTGAAGGTCTAGCAACACCGACGACAACGAGCTTGTGGAAGATTTCCGCGAAGTATGGCACCTGGATTACGCAAAGATAGCTGTCAACAATCCTCTGAGCAAGAACAGTTCGCCAGTCACTTCCGACAGGTGCGAAAGAACCATTTCGACGACTTTCAGAAGGAACGCTCTTTCGCTTTTCCAGACATGTGGTCAACGCTTATACCCGTCAGCATCAAGTGTCGCGTTCGTTGATCGTCTAGCCTGTCCAGGCCGCGTTCGCTGGAACTTGATGGGTTCCCATGTTTTTGTTCGCAGTACCCCCTGTGCAACGGCTCAGGACTTATCAGAACCTAGGTTCATGTCTTTCTGGAAGTTGCTAGAAGTTCTACGTGTGTGCAGCATGTCTTTTTCCATGAGTTTCACTCGTAGAATAAAAAGCCGCTTCACAGGTTACAGCAGCCAGCTTCCCACAAAGGGGAGGGCCAACACGAAGTGTGGCACTGCTCAGCCCAAATGCACGTGAGATGTTTAAACGGCACGCTATGGCACGCTGTTTGGTTTCACCCGGCAGTTTGAGCCGATTCCGATGGTGCTTGGGGTGTATGTTTGGAATGCTCCGCATTTTGAACATGTCATGCTTGCCACAAGGTAAGTGCATGTACTAAACACCACGAAGATTTGCCCGGAGACAAAATACCTCTTGTCCAAGACTGCACGCAACATGCTCGAGTTTGCATGTGCTGATGGCTCACTGTGACATTGTCGGTTTGACCCCTCTTGAGCCAATCTTCATTCATGTTCAGTCATCACACCGCAGCCGGAGACAGGGCTGAATGCTGCCGATCATTGGGCTCAGGTCTTCGCCTCATATTCCGGCCCCAGCACAGCATTCATGGCAGATCAAGACGGTTGCATCACGCCCTGAGCACTGCAAGCATCATCGAAATTAGTGTTTCCCGTTGTTGCTGCCACTTCATGCAGTGTGGCTGTCTCCATGCATGCTTTGTACCGGCCGTACTCGCTGGCACCTTGCCTGACATGCTGGTGTGTGCAGAGTCATTGCTGGACACTGCCTGCTCAGCGCAATATGATATCTAGCAGCACCCGTGAGGACCCCTCTCAGTGCTGCCACGGGTGCGGGCGGGAAATTCCTCGTCCTCGTCGCTCTCAATCTGCCATGGCCCAACATGTCGCTGCTGTCGTCGCGGCATTGTGCTGCTATCTCTGCAACTGCTCAGAAGGTGCAAGAAAGCCGACTCACAAGGTCGAGCGCAGGCCTTCCGAGAATTCCCAGAGTCTCAGAGCTCTTAGGCAGCCACGGCTTCTTGTTCCTAGGCAGCTCTTCAAAGCCGACAGTGGCCAAGCCGCAGCCTCACGAATCAGCCTCGTCTGGTACCATCTACGGGCTTGGCCACCAAACAGCGCTGAATCAGTCAAGGCTTGAAGTCGCGGCATGCCTCTCCCGTCCGTTCATGCTCGTGCCTGTCACACTTGGTTACGGCCCGTACACCTGCTGGGTACGGGCAGGGCAGCTCACAATCATATCTGATATCATCGGCGGCACCCCTCCGCAACCATCATTCAAGGCAGCAGAGTCTCCGGAGTGGACCAGTCACTGCCAAGTAGAGGACTGTCATATGAGGCAGAACTTCAGAACGGCAACTGGAAGGGTGCCTGTGTCTGACTTGTTTTCTTACTTTGGAGTCAATGCATCCTTTGTCCTCTGTGTATGGTACGCACCCAGCTCCGACAGTCTCGCGCGACACGTACAGCACACACTTAGCCCGGCTGTGCTAGCAGCTACGTGTGGCTTGGCGAGACAAGACAATCCGGAGAAATCCGTGGCTCCTGTTTGCACGTGTTTCTCATTGGGTTTAGGGTTGGCCATTCATTTTCTTTCAGTCTTGGCAAGTCATCGCCAGTCCTTTCAGGGTTGATCTCGGCCACTGTTTCCAGAGTAGTATACGACAGTTATAGGACAGTAGTACTCGCAGTAGCCGCCGCAGTCGTAGCAGACCGTGCCCGAGTTTTACTGTAAGCGACTGGCAATCTGTCTTAGGCCACATGGTGGCATCCCTTTCCTGAAAGCAGACATCGATTCACCTGGTGCAGGTGTGCTTGAGAGAGCGGTCAGATCATGTGTGAATTATGTGAGATAGTCGTGCGTGAGAAGCTTACTTAGCCCGACTTCAGCAGGCAGCTGGTTGCACGGCGACAGTGCGATGGGGGCGCCGTGCCATGCCGGAACTCCGGTAAAGGGATGCTGCGCTCAGACTCGGAGAGTGTGAGTGCGGTGAGGCTGTCCGGACGCTCCAACAGCAGCTCCAAGGGGCCGAGGCCGGGACGAGCGGAGCATTCCCGCTCTTTCACTCCGTTTCACTCCGTTTCACTCCGCTGCCTCCGGACTCCTTTCCTTCAGGCGATGCTGGCCACTTGCAACCAGGTGGATCTGAGCTCAAACCCGGACTGTGACTGAGCACCGAGCACGCTTAAGCGACGCTTAAGGTCGAGGCCGCATGGGCCCTGGCATCGCAACGACTTACTGCGTTCGACAGCCGCTTGGTGCCTTGGGCCTGCTTGCCTGCCTGGTTGCACACCCCTGCCGTCCCCGACAGCAAGCGCAAATCGCGTGCTCGAAGTTTTATCTGCCAATGTGTGGCAGCTCTCATCGCTTTCGTGCCACCATGTCGTCCGCCATCCTTGTGAGTTGCTTTGATGGTCGTTGCTTTGAGCCTGGCTGTGTTCCGGCATGAATTTGACATCGAGCTTTCCTCATGAACCTAGCCGTGCGATCTCAGCGGTTCGCACGGAGCTACTGTTCTCGGGAAACCGATTCGGCACTGTTCGTTTGCGTGTGTTAGCCATCCACATTCGACTTCAGTCGTCAACTTCTGTTCACACTTATGAAACCTGCCCAGAGCAGGTCGTGTTTTAGGTTGCTAACTGACGGTTGCCATTATTTCGAAGGCATCAAAACTTGGTTCGCACCTTAGTTAAAGCGTGCAAAGTTGCTCAACCACTGGCTAGAAAGCACTCAGAACTGCTGTAATCTAGCGCGGCGGATGATGGCAGAGAAGGGAAGCACCCATAAGCCCATAACTGACGGCCTGATGATCTTACCGCCCTGCTACAAAAACAACGCGCGGAGTCCTGTGACCGATGACTTACGGTGTACTTAAAGCATCATGCCGGTTGGAAAGACGAGCAAACCAAAGAAGCAGTGGCACAATGTCTAATGTACTTCAAGCACGGCAATGCCAGGCAAGTGGATGCTCCGGCTGTAGGGGCTCAATGTCGGGATCTTGCAGGCTTGAAAGGCTGGTGCCACCGTCCCGAGCGTATGCACGAGACTCCAGGAATATCTCGTCAGTCTTTGTCTTTGGCAGCTCATGGCTTAGGTTCTGTGTTTGTCTTTGGACAGCTGTGCGAGAACTTCTGGCTGTAAGTGGCTTTACACCCTGTGCCGCTTTAACCGTGTTTCGCCTCACAACATGGTCTTGGAGGGACGACTGGCGCCTGTTTCTGGGTTTTTTGGTTTTGGTCCAAGCAGCCTCCCGGGCCTGGCTACTGTCGCTTGTCGAAGTCATCCGACCCGGGTTCCGCCTCTTCTGGGATTTGTGTTCCGAGGAGCCTCGCAAGCGCACGGCGACAGCTGCATGTTGAAAAGCCACTGGCACTGAAGAGTTGCTCTGGGAGAATGTGACTTGCAAACATCCGTTCCAGAGGACTTTGTAGGGTTTAAGGATGGTGACATGGTGCATGCGACAAGCATGCCGGGGGAAGAGTGGAAGTTTGTCTGAAATTTCTGGACCCTGTGTCAGAGGATTCGTCCTACTTGTAGGTTGACATGCCTGCACGGCTGAGTGCCTGCACCCTTGGCAGAGGCTGGCAGCAGCCCAGTGCGTGCATGTACAGTTCCAGGGTTGCTTTTGGCCGTAGGCTTGTCTGGCCTGCTGGCTACGGCCGGACGCTACTCTACTCTGCAATCGCCATGGGTATCCGGTTAATTCTATCGCTACCCAGCCCGCCTCGGCTCGACAGTGCAGCAGCCCCTCCCAAACAACGGCGAGGACAGGTCAAGGAGGGGCGGGGAGGGGGGGCAAGGGGAAAAGCGAGGAAACCTGCCTGGACTTGGCCAAAATGACTGGAACGAAGGGACAGGTCATGGAGCGGCCAGCCGGGGCGGGGGGTCGAAAATGCATACCACCTGCAATGTCAGTTCGTGCAACAACGTGGTTTTGGACCTTCGAGAATTGAGGCCACGAATACGAGAGACGAACGTCTTTTGTCGACAACCCTTTGTCTTTTCCTTCAGGGCACCATGCAGGCCATAAGTTGACTGCTGCTGGTCTCCCTTCTTGGACTTTGTCGGATAATCTCCGCTGAACCATCTAACCAAACCTTCAACCGCTTGCTGTTGCCGCAAAAGGAGAAAAGGGGGCGGGGGCACGGCAGGCAGGGAGCAAGGGCCAGAACGGCGGGAAAAATGAGCAAAAAAGAACTGTCTGCCAAAATGGACTGACAGGTCAAGGAGGGGTCAGTCGGGGCTGGGGGTCGAACATGTGCCCAAAAAACGTATGTCAGTAAATTTTGGGATGCAGGAAGGAGGGATGCCTGTGGCCTCGGCGGACTTTTCCTGAGACTATTTCCTAGTGAAGCCCTTTTCTGCATCTCCCAGTTTGTTCTTTGTCACCTTCGCATTTCTTCGCATGGCCATGCACGACCATTGCTAGTCGCAGCTCGACCTCAAGCTCGCTGCGCTTTCTCAGAAGCAGAACCAGGACCTTTGACTTGCCTTGGCTTCTCTCTTGTCCCTGACTTCTTGCGAGGTGTGTGAGGACCAGGACACCCTGCCTCGGCACCACACCAAGCTGTTCAGTCGAGAAGCGAAGCCAGTCAACATGACTGCTGCCCGCAGACACGAAACCGATCTACGTTTGTCACTCCTCGAGCAGCGCTTCGAGGCCAGTTCACGGTTTGGAGCCCGGCAGCAGATAGCCTCCACCCAATATGATTACAGGCTCTCCAACAGAGAATTAGCTCCAGACTTACAGTCGCTGGACGCAAGGTCTGGCTTTTGCAGTACACTGCAAATTTGAAGTGGTCCCTCTTGGCGCAAAACGACCAAGGCATGCCATCTTCGCCAGAGAAGGATCCCAGGGCGAAGCTTAGCAAAAGGCACATAGCAACCGTCCGCCAGTTCCTTTCAGGATGGCTTAGGCCTTCGTCTGGCCTCCCTTTCAGAACGCCTCTCGGTCTTCATTAGTCAGCTGCGTCACATGCACATCTCATGATCTCTTTCAGCTGCGTAGTGCAATGCTCCAGCCCAAATCGCAGAAAGGCCTTTCAGCAGAGGTGCATCTCCATTGAGTGTGCACCGTCTCCTATGAGCATCCACTGACTGGGCGCACTGTGGCAGGCTCGTGTGCGCGAAGAGCAATTTCGCAGGTTGGAATCCATGTCTGGGACTTGTGCCTCAGTGCTGGCAAGTTCAGGAAGCAGATTCGCTCGCTGCAGGTTTCGTGCCCATCAGACGAAGGAGAGCCTGCCCTCCAGACCTGCGTTTGACATGGCCCCGACACCGTCCAAACTTTTCTCGTGTTGGGGGTGCTGCATACTACAATTTCCCTCTTTTTCATCTTCCGGTCTCATGAGGCTTACGTAGCCATCACCAATGCCGAAAGACAGCTACGGTGACGCGTCTGCGTAGAGTTCGGAGAGCTTCGCAACGTGTCAGCCGGAAAGCGCATGCCGCCAAGACACTCTGAGTCCCAAGCTCCCCACGCCTCGTCCTCCCGGCGGTGCAGGAGTCCGAGCGGTCGCCTGAGACTCGGCCTTGCTCTTACTCGTCGCAATTGGCAGCTCGAGCAAGTCATCCTGTGCACAGCGACTAGTAGGATATGCTAAGCAATTACAAGTAGCTGCTCAGAGACATAACTGGCCTCCCCACCGCTGGAAAGGAAAGATGCAGGCCTGATGGTCTCTTAGGATTTGTGGCAAAGAAGAATGAGAACACCCTCCACAGATGTCTTCTCAGAGGGGCTGGAAATGAACTCGCCGAGAAAACCTACTAACTCCAAGCCATTCCTGGATGTCTGAACAGCAGTAGGGTTCATGGTGCCATTCTCGCAGACCGAACCCACGAGATCCCACGAACTGCCGCATGGAGTTCCGTCTTCGTGATCACGCATTTTCTCTTTGCGAAATGAATTGCCAGCAGACACTGCCCCATGTTGCCCTGCCGCAGCTATCGTTGAAAACTTGGATCGGGCAATCCGTGCCTGCCTGACCCACTAAGCGATGGGACGAAACCCTCCCAGAGAACCGAACGACAAATTGCCAGCATATGCCAGGTACTGGTAGTAAGAGCTAGGCAACGGTGCAAGTTCAGCTGCAGGACTCCAAATGCCTTCGCTGGCCAATCGTCCTTGCAGGTTGGGGCTTCTCCACGCCATGTTTTAGCTAGACATGTCGTGACTTGAGAGGCGCACGGATCGCAGGTCGAATCTGGTAGGCCGGTGCGGAGAATGAGCCAACGGCTTAGAATGCTAGACACGCGAGTAAGTGATGAGCACAAGGCAAAAGGTGTTCCGCGAATTGGCTTCGAGGACCATGTGAGTCTGCCGACGATTTCTGGAATGCCTCTCTCACGTTACCGCGGCCACAGGCCAGCTACAGCAAGCACACACACACAGACACACACACACACACACACACACTCACGCTTTTGTGGTCCAGTGGCAGATCCAGGTACCACTATGCCTCGCAGGTCTTTCGGCTTCAACTCCAGCGTGCGCCGCCAAGCAACCCTTTTACCCTTGGACTGCTGCGGCTCGTCGCCAAATAGAGTTGGAGCTGCTTCGTGGCTGTCGTCCTGGGTTAGGCTGACGAGTTCTGGAGCCTGGATCTCTAACTTGTCTCCTTCGACTCTCGGGCCGAGTGGCATGCCAAGAGGTGTTGGCCTAAGCACAAGAAGGAGCTTTCCGTGTCAAGTTCAAGGTCCCGTAGGTGTGGTTGCGAAACAGAAGCCCAGGACCACCCACTGGCTATGACGACAATTTAGTTCTTCAAAAAGCCTTCGTGTTGATCATCCCCCCAAACCATCCTTCGGGAAAATCATTCCTGAAATGGCACCGGCTCTAAAGAATCTTAAAACAATCATGCTTGAAAAATCGTCCTCAAATCCTCCCCAAAATTATGCTTCAGGCAATTTCGGCCTCGATCAAAAACCCATCCCCGTAATCATGGCCAGAAAAATGCTTCAGCAATTTCGACTTGAAAACAATCTTCAAAGCATCATTCCCTGAACGGCCACAAACTTGTCTATGATTGTTCCAAGAGTTTAGGAAAGTTTGTCGAAGAAGAAATATTTGACGAAGAGCATTGGAGTAATTCCCACAACTTCCTCAGAAAGCTTGTTTGTTTTAAGGCGACTGTTCGAACAATCCGCGGAGCTTACGCGAAAATCCATCCCGGTTCGCCCATGACCGATTGCTTGTTGAAGAACGTTCGAAGAATTTTCCGGGACAACCTCAGAAACTGCCGTTTGCGGATGTTTGCCGATTTTATCCGTCATCTGAGGGCGAGGAAGGGCTCTCTAGCGGCTTGGATGCGGAAGGAAGTGATCACACCATCGATACTCGACTCCAAGTCGAAGCGCGCCAACTTTCTTGATGCCTGGAGTAAACAACGCTCCACAGAGTTTGTGCCTAAGAAAAAGGCCAAGCAGAGCTGATCATTTCACCTTGTGTCTTTTGCGACGAGTGGGGGAGACACTCTCAGCGCACGGCTGAAAAGATGTGGCATAATTAGGCTTTGTACGTGCTGAGATCGTTGCTCGCTGTCCCCCAAACCCCCAATCCAATAATCCAAAGTAGGAGTATGGATGGCCAATGCCCTCAGTAAAGCCCACGTCCTCAAAACTCAAAAAATCCACCAATAAAGCACGAAAGCATTAAACCCTTAACCCATGAAAGCATCAGACGTCCGTTCCAATACTTTCAACTCTGGAGGCACGGTTACAAGGGGAAAGACTGGATTGCTATGACTTCCCACCAGCGTTTTGCACAGCAGCCCGGCACAGCGGTTACTTGGTACAAACAAGAATTGTTATGACTTAGTTGTGGGAGTCATATCGCCGCGGTTCACTGGGGAAAGACCTCCCCCAGCTGCTCCTGTTATGACTTCGACCTCACACAGTAGGTCCTTGGAAAGCTTGCGAGGTATTGCTACATTCGTCCAAACCCGGGCTCGCCGCCACGCCCATCAACCCGCAAGGATGCTGGAATCGACGATGTTTTGATGTATATGTTGATTATTGTTGATTGATGATATTGTGAATCGTGGGCGGTCAAATTTGGAGGAAGATCTTCGCTGTTTGTTTGAAGGTGTTCTCGGGTGGGATGGCCGGAAGGATTCCCAGAATGTTTCTGAGGATTGTGACATCGAAGGTTTTTTGAAACAAATATACGTAGCATCCATGAGTTCCAGCCCTGGTCTGATTTGCCAGGCTGAACAGACGGCTCGGTCAAACAGAAGTTTGGCCAGATTCATGAACACTGTTTCGGCATGACGCGGACGATCTGAAGATGAGTGACGACATGTTGTGCAGACAGTAGTCAAACCGTGGAAGGCAACTTCCTTCTCTTAGCATCCATGCGCATGCAGGGAACTGTTCATTGCCGTTCACACTTGCCGTGTGTTATTGCCTGCAGTCGCAGACTTACCCTGAACAGAGACAGATTATATGCACTTGAGAGTTTCGTCGGGCGCAACTACCACTCACTACTTGTCAAACCAGAGTCAACACAGCAACCTGACGGCAATGAAAACTGACAGCACCTACTAAAATTTATCAAAGGCTAGCCGGCTAGCCGTCTCATTCCTTTCCGTTAAAGCCATGTTTGGGTCGCGTGGAAAGAACATCTGTTTTTTGGTACTACTACGTCTGTGTACTTCGACGACGATTACGATGACGGCGGCCATGACGACTTCAACATCAGCTGCGACTCTGACTGACGACTACTCGTACAACTACTTCTACTTCACTTTGACTTCTTCCACTACTTCTGCTCCTGCTCCCACTACTACCACTACCACTACCACTACCACTACCACTACCACTACCACTACCACTACCACTACTACGACGACGACGATGACGACGACGACGACCATGATACTTTCTATAGCAATAGCAGTTTTTGTTGCAACCACCTGCTCCCCACATCCTAGCACCACTCACTAGTTGTAAACCAGCAAATGAAAACTGACAGCAGCTACCGAAACTCATCAAAGAATATCCGGCTAGCCGTCTCAGTCCCTTGAGCTATAGCAGTGGGCATCTGAGGCTCGTGACTCCACGCTTCAGTGCTGCGCGCACATCTTCAAAATCAGACATAGACATATTTGTTACTGTACCATAGTTGCCATAGCGAGCTCCCAAAGATTGGAGTCGTTCACAGGCAGCAGAGCCTCCTGGCTGTTTGAATTGTGTAGTGTCATCAAGCACTGAGGCAGCACCTGTGCTGTGCTGTCAGAAATTAAGGCACAAGTTAAAGGCCGCAGAAGCCAGCTGATGCCATCCAGCAATGCAGAAAACGGCGATCACACATCTGTGGAGGCGTACGGCAGGGCGCAGCAGTTGCGTCCGGCTTGTTTGCATGCTCAGACCAAATGTGCTGCGTGCAAGCTCAAGCTGCTTTTCGATGGGACAAGCTTCTCCGCTCATGTTGATTTTCCTTCGCTCATGCGAATGCGAATGCCAACATGTGCATGTGATGTTCCATCACGCGAAGAGAAGGATGACCAGAGCACACAGCTGAACCCACTGGCAAGGTTGCCTGCAACAAGGAAACCAGCCCGACAACCAGGAAACACCCGAAAATGACGCTGCCTTTGACTGACAGCTTCCAAGATCTTGAAGTGCAGCATATCGAGATAGGGTGCCTGCTCCATTCACAGTCTCTGTTTGTCTTGACTAGCTGCGTCTACAGCAGTCTCGCGACTCCTTGGAATTTCTTGCCGCCGTTTGTTGTCAGAGGTTTTTTGCAAGAGCCCAGCTGCGACTGCCTCTGAAAATTCAGTGCTTGACCTGCAAACTTCCGGGAGCTGTGACTGTGCGAAGCGTGCAGGTTCTAAACATCTGCGAGCTGCAAAGCAGCCGACTTGGCAATAAGACCTGGGCAGGAACGGCTCACCAACTGGTGAGGCAGCCGAACTGACAGCCCCCGGCAGACTTGAATTCAGCTCGTTTACAGTCTGGTACTAAGGTGCCGGCGGTGCTCAATTTCTGGCAGCGCTGCCCTGTCTGTTTAGTTTACGCCATCACTGCAGAAGATGGACCGAGCAGACTGGATGCGAAACATCCGAGAAGGAAGTTCCATTTGTTTAGTCACATGATGTTTGCATCAACCGTTCTTTGCAAGCCTGCGGAGCTCTCTCGATCTGCATTTTGGTCCCAAGCTGAGACTTAAAAAGATAATTGATAGTGCATCGTGATGTCAGAACATAGTGATGCGGCTATGGCCATGACATGTGCCTGCACACGAGTTATGAACCCTGTAGAGCATGGGAGCCTGATTTTCGGATCGACCTGATGCGCATGGCACGCCACTGAGATTTCGCCATATTTCGTTGTTCGACGTGCACCATGCTCGTCAAACAATCGTAGTTCGAAGATGGATTGCCTAGGGTCTCTGTGACTCGTGGGCACACTCTGCAGGATAACCATTTGTCCCTTTCGCAAGCCTTGCAGACACCTCTCATTGCAGATTGGGCCGACTAACTTGGTTGGCTCCTCTACTTTTCTAAAGACCAATGGCTTCCTCCCAGGGCAACATATCCAATTTGCATGTCTGCCGCAAACTTCAGACTGCTGAGTCGTTGAGGCCAGATGCCAAGTGGGCGCCTCGTTCAGTTGCAAAGCGCCGCACTATAATAGAATGCTGACTAGTCGCGGTAGCTTTCCCACAATCAGCCTGATGTAAACAACTGTGTCGCCAAGCCTCTAGATGGTCCACCTGCCTCTTGTGCTTTTGTCCTGACGGCTGCCTGTCAAACTGTTGCAGTTGATAATACGCAGCGGTGCTGAAATGCATCGCCCTCCTGATCTAGGCACAGAAACAACTTAACTAGAAAAGACATGAGACACTGTGACAGGCAGACAGGCGAGCCCAGGAGTCTGTGCATTCGAGATTGTAGTACTCAAAAGTGAGGCACAGCCGGCCATCAGTGTTGACGGTGCAAGTACAGTGCATCATTATCCGCATGTGTCTTTGCAGGAAATTTTGCTCGGCAGTGGACTGGCGAAACCTTCCCTTGTCCTAGTGATGCCTGCATGCACCAAGGCTTTTCTATTGATTATTCGAAGTGGAAGCGGATTGCGCAAGAGGAGGCGCGTGGGGAAAAGCAAAGACCTTCTCAAGTGCAGAGTGTCCCGAGGCCGCCGAGGAGGAGGACCAAGTGGGGCATCCTGAACTTGATGTTCTGGCAGTCGTGCTGACGCTGAGGATGAAGTCCAACGCTATGAACGAGAAGTCGCAAAGGAGCCGGTCATCACGATGGACGAGGTGTATGCCAAGGCCACAGCTGCTTTGCACCATGTTGTGCTTTGCTGACGGAGCTTGTCCTGGCATGCAATGCAGGAGACTGGTCGTTCACAACATGTCGACAGGCAGGCATTCATGCTGCAAATCCGAATAGCGGGTAGATCCAATACCGTGTTATAACACGTAATATTTAATACTCGTCATATGTGTATATGAATATATATTTATTTATTTAGTTGTTTATTTATTTTTATTTATACTTATATGTATTTATACTTATATTTAATATTTATATTAGACATGCTACTGCTACTACTACTACTACTACTACTACTACATGCTACTACATGCTACTACATGCTACTACTACTGCTACTACTACTACTACTACTCCTGCTGCTGCTA